GGGAGGATAAAGACACTAATTAAAAAAACAGCAGTTAACAAACAAAACAAGTCAAAATTCATTGCTAAAGCTTTCAGCCTCGCGGTCATTGCCGATATCGGCTAACCGGCTCAACACGTTATACGTGTGAGTGCTGACAAGCTATGGTACGTATACCATGAAAAGCTGAGTTGGAATGAAATGGTGCCCCGGTAGCGTAACTGGTAGCGCACTTGCCCGGAAAGCGAGAGGTGCGGGTTCTAGTCCCGCCTGGGGCGAAAGTTTTGTTCACAACCCAGCATTCTTGTGAAACAACTGACATAACTCGACAAGCCCACCTCCCCCCGCAAGTCATGTACAGGCCAGATCGCATTCGAATTGCCACTACTATCAGAATGGAAGTGAAATGCGTGGGGTCATGCAGGCGTTGATCACTCCCGTTTTAGGATGCGCCACGCATTTCACTTTCTTTCACATTCGTAGTGGCGTTTGAATGCGATGTGGCCTATACAATGACTTGCGGGGGCCAGCCGATGTTCAAGTCAGTGTTTTTATCCTCCCAGACAAGTCTGGTACCAATTAACCGACCCCGGAGGATGGAAGGCTTGATTGGCGGTGCGTTGCAGTTTTCCTCTTCAGGTCAGGCCACTTAAAATTAAGACACACTCATTTGCTCGAAGCAAGCTTAGGACTAAGCCTAGGCCCAATCATAGGCTTAAGCATAAGCCAATGTGTAAGCATAAGCCTTAACCTAAGTCTAAACCCAACTTAACCTTAAGCTTCAATGATCGCGCAACTCTGGTGACCTGACCTGAGGAGGAGAACTGAACGTCTCCCAGTCCGAATATGGAGCGATGAGTATCGTGCACAGTACACAGTTCTCCTTGCCATGCCTATGGACGGGAAATGCCAACTTTTCAGGCACAAGTCCATGTTCATATGTCGCTCCAACTCTACACCGTATGAACTCACCTAACGTTTCGAGTGGTTGCGGTCGAGGAGCGTCTTCCGTTACACACAGACTTTTCCTGCTTTGAACTCCGCAATTACAGACTGACCAGTCTGACCAATCTGCTGAAGAAATCGCTACTAAAAAGATGAAAAAATAAATGCAGTACTGTAAAAGCTTGACAAAAATGGTTCAACACAATAAATTAAAGTATTCATCTGAGAAGTACCGTGTTCGTTTGGCATTTGAGAATCGCCATCGACTTTCTGTTTGTCCACTTTGATTACTGGATCAGTTGAAGCGTCGTCTTTGAGGACAAAGGATTCCTGCTCGGAGATTACTTCGACACCAGATGGAAGCCGGGAGAAAGGCTGGAATCCACTCTCATTCGAGAACATAATTGAAAAATAATAAAGTAGTGAAGTTGAGAACAAGGTGAAGAGGTGCTAAGATTGTATCACATCATCTGCCAATGATCAATTTAGTTTTATTTATTTATTTATTTATTTATTTGATGCTCGCATAGGTGCGTTATATCAGATCCAATAATATACCTCATGGGGAAATGAAGTTTGATCGACCTCAAAGGGAGGAAAAAGAAAAGTAAGGAAAAGTAGCTACTATACGAAGGAGAGAAAAATATAATTTTTTGAGGAGCGTTCTTTTTTAATCGAGTAATTTCAGGTAGAAGGGGAAAGTACATCGGCAAACTCGCAGTTATGTAATTGATGTGGGAATGCCGTTAGGCAAGGAAAAGTCTTGCCCATGGCTTCCCAGCAGTTGCACAGGGTGGGGCAGATAGCAGCATTCTCATTTCGGTGAACTGAATCTGTCTTGTTCATGGGCCAACGCCTGCTGCCGCATAGCATCGGGTCGACAGACTACTTGAACTCGATCCTTTGAGCTGCTCAACATGTCCGCGCCCTTGACGTAATTAGCCGGCTCATGACCACATGTGACTCACACATTCAACTTTAAAGGTCCGACGTAGTTGGAATTCAGACCATATCGAAGACTCTACCCTCCTACCAACGAGGTGGTCCTAGGGCCTCCATCTTACCTGCTCATCCACTCATCTGCGCCTATCTCTGTATGGGCTGAAGGAAGGCTGTGCCTACGCCTCTGGCAGGGAGCCCAGAAGGAAGTTCATGTAACCCATTAAATTCTTTGGATTATTTGTTCTGTATAACTATAATATGCTAGAAGAGATAAAAGGACAAAGAGATAAAACATTTGCGTTGTCGATCCTTTTGCGATTGCTGGCACGCATTTTACTTCCGCTTGTACACTGTATTGGATTTGAATGCGATGTGGGCTATACAGACTTGCGGGGGCCAGCCGATGTACAAGTCAGTGTTTTTATCCTCCCAGACAAGTCTGGTACCAATTAACCGACCCCGGAGGGATGGAAGGCTTGGTTGGCCCGGGCGACTCACGACCCAGGATTTGATCCCCGGACCGCTCGCGTGGTAAGCGTGCCACTTGCCACTACACCACTTCCGCCCGAGATTATGGATTATGAATATATGATGAGAAAATAGCATCGAAAATAAATGGCGCGATCAGATAAATTTTACCCCCCTGTTATGTGGTGCTATCGTCTTAGAATACTTAGCAGAGCGACTCACAGCATCATTCGTCATCGACTCCTCGACAGAACCAGCAATCACAAATTGAACTGCTCATTTTCTCGTGCTTCTTCTCAGGTGGCCAAACATCACGAAGTAGGTCGTGCCGGTTCGCCTTCAACTGTATAAAATAAAACACAATTGCGAAAGAGAAAAAGAGTGATGCGGGTCTGAACCGTCAGAGGTGAAAGGGTTTAGTTTTATAACTCAGCATCCAGTGATGAACGCTCGATCAAGAATCAAGGTGTTCGATAAACACACAAATTTATTTAATTCAGTAAGATTTTAAACTTAATGCTCATCTGAGCCTGAGTCGCTGAGGTAAGTCGAGTTTTATGGGAAAATAAATTGTGTGAGCATAAAATTGCTATCAGAACAAATACACTGAGTGGAGCACTAGCAGTAGATGATTGCATAGCTTCAGCTAATTGCTTTTTCTTTTCAGTAATTCGCACTTGGAGCTTGTCCCTTTGGTCTTCAAGATCCGTCTTACTCTTCTTCCGAGTTACCTGGAATAGCGAAAGCTTTTGGTACTATGAAAAACGGATAACAAATAGAAAGTCAAGAGCACTGAATATGGCCCTAATCATATTCCTGAGTAATAATCCCCTTGTTAGGTTTATATTATCCTTGCTTTTAATCAAGTGATGCCTTCTGACAACTCAGATTTAATGCCATTTTCGCTCCATTGTTGTTGTAGTTTAGAAAGCAAAGATTGCCTCTAGCTCACCTCTTCCGTTCGATCATGTTCTACTAAGATTAATGTGTTTGTTGATGGCGCACCATGAGTGCATTATAAATAAATAAATAAACAATATTAACACTAAAACCATAATAAAATCATCTCCTGTTCACAATTGAGGTATCTGAAGGTTGCAGGAGGGATGTTGACAAGTTACTAAAACGGTACGCGCCATCCCGCCAAGTGGCTACGTGAATCGGCGCGTAAAACTACTCTTCTGTTCTTAGGCAAGAATGCAAAACTCTTCCGCCTCTCCATAGTCTGCTATCACATAAGCTTTTACAGTATACAAATTAAATTATATACAAACTTTGAAAAAATTTTTCGTTGCTTCATTTCTCCATCATACATTATACGAAGTTATACGATGCAATAGTTAGATAAATAAATAAACAAAAAATAAATAAAAATCATGCTTGGCTCCGTCCCTAAATTCAATTATATATGAGCTATGGCAAGTGCAAACGTCAAAAGTTCAAAATAGAGAAATGCTCAACCTCATTGTGAGATATTGCCAATCCTTTAGGTGCTATGACTATCCATGGGTCATCGCCGACTTCCGCAACTTCGCAAACTGCGAGACGGGCTCTGCTTGTCCTCGAACGTACTGTCCCATTCATTCAAGGTTGAAAGCACAGTCTTGCTCTCTGCATTTGGATGACTAAACTTAGAGCGGGTACAGCTGGAAGTTTCCAGAAATTCTTGGGGCTCCCAAGAAAATGCTCGTTGGCAGAAGGTTGACAGCAACATTTGCCGCGGTTGTGACTAGCTGTGCGACTGGATTTCTTGTAGTTGTGGTAGTACTGACTGAAGTGCTAGTTGTGGTTGCTGTTGTGGTAGTAACGGGCTCAGAGGTCATCGCCTTGAGCTCGGCTAGAATCTCTTCTGTGTCGTACTCCGGTTCTTGTTCCTGAATTATCTCTTCCCTTCAGCTTCGAAATACTTATTCGAACGTGGAAGCGTCTTGCGATGGAGGCAGTGTTATCTTCTGTATTTTCGGCTGGTGCCAATAATTTCATCCCATGTTTTCGTCCTTTCGGCACTTTGGAAGCCAGCGTAGAAGAAGCAGGGCTCACTGTTGTGTCTTCCACAGACATGGTACTGGGCAATGTGGTTGTGGGCATTGTAGAAGGACTTGTAGTGGTTGATGGAAGAGGTGCGGCAAAATGTCGACGTTTTCCAAGGACGGAGGTCTCGTCTGCGTATCGGTATATTCGCTTCAGATTGTCTTCACTGAGAATTTTGATACTTGGTCGGAGAATTCAACCATCTGAAACAAATGGAAGTTCAATCAAACCTATTGTAGTCTAAGTTGGTTGAAATAATGTTCATTTCACTAAATTAGAAATGCGCTGGAAAACCAATAGATAGCGGGAAAACCAACAAAGATCGAGATTCTCAGAAAGGTTCTTTCACATTCATTTCACTGAACTAAAAATTTTATAGTCATATGTTTTGTTAACTATTAGGGTGTCCAGTAAGTTTTTATCATGTTATTCAGCATTCAATTTTAAAATTCGGTTTACTGGAAGGAATGATTTCGGACCGTTCACACAGTCCTCCATCAATTTACCCGCAAATAAACCCCTTCCCTGCTTCGAGGCCTAGAGGCTGGGAATTCTTGAACCCTCCCAAAACAGGCTCGAAAACTCCCAAAATTTCTTGGACACCCTAATATCGCAACCTAGCATCACAATGGCGCTATCGCAAGATACGGGGGCATTATGGTGGCAATGCATCTCGAACCGCGTAAAAACCTTTTTCTGCTGAAAACGGGGCTAAGCTTCGGGAGGGGGAGAAACTTCAGAATGCACGTGAAATTTCCTTTGTACCCGAAGTTTCTATTCTCCCTTTGCTTAGTTTCGGAAGATGCCCCCATATCATGTGATAGCGCCACCACTACTCAACTAAAAAGGCAAAGAAATATTGATACAGAAACATGAATACCTTCTATCTCCGGTAGAGGTTGCGGAAAACGTTGTGCGAATTGTTGTATGATAATGGGTTCACGAGAAGGCATCGGTGATGCCGGACGATATCGCACTTTTGGTGTGACTGAAAGTTGACTTTGAGAGCTCGACCTTGATTTTCAACAGAAATAAACTGATGTATAATCGCAGAGATTATTTGCCCATTGGCTAAGAAAATCAGCAACCCTCAGCTCAAAATATAAAATCGAAGTAGTTTCAGTTCCTGTACAAATTGCCAACCAAACGCCAAACAACCAAATGCCAAACAAATTCCCAAAGTAAATTCCGCCTACTTTTTTCTTCGTCTGGAACGGAAACTTCGTAGTCCTCGTACAGTTGCCGCATGGCTATGCGGCGATCTTCGCTGTACGGATCCACGACATCGAGGTCCGGTAGCGCACGGGGAGTCTCACCGGTGACTTTCACTGGAATGCCAGTTGGCGACGGTGTTTGATGTGCTTTTGAAGAATCGCACGATTGGAATTCCTGCAACTCAATCACTCATTAAAAGGCAACATCGCTTCCATTCATTTTGAAGAAGTTCTGGATTGCCACAAGGTCAACTCGCGGCTAGTCAAGATATAGTTTTTTCTTTCAATACTGAGTTTTGGTCCATTCGCCACGATAGGGTGTGAAAATTATGTACGGATTAAAATACCCGTTAGCACCTTTTTTGAGCTTTCCGGCAGCGTTCTTTAGAGGGAACCGTCAGTAATTATGGCGAATAGCCAGGCTGGCGCAGCGACATCGCGCCAAACTTCACGCATGATTTTCAAGGAGTTCGCGG